AGAGTTAAGGTAAACTGAGGCTTTAAATACACAGACACTGATGGCTGAAGACACAGCTGAGGAACAAAACACACTTAAACTAAATCAGATTGAGGAGACAAGGTAAGTAAAACTGAATGTAGTACACAAAAATGTTTGTGGTTTTTCTTGTAAGTGTTTAAGTCCTGATCCAGTTGGCCTGCTACCTCAGATGGTTAGAGTGTGGTGCTGATAATGCCGAGGTCCAAGGTCAATCCCCAGTGACAATCGGGATCCCCAATGTCTGGGCAGAACGTTCTGCCCAGACGTTCAGAGAGAATTCAAGAAATGTGTGTTACCTCCTCCGTTAAAGGAATTCCATGTTGTTTGCACAAATACCTGTGGTACCATGTTTTCAGTGCACAATTCTGTATCTCATTTACACCTTACAACCATAGATGTGATTAGACTACAAATCTGAAATCTATCAGGCCTACTTATTCTACCAAAAATAAATAAACAATTTGATGTAGGTCACGTTTCCCCCATGTGTCATATTCTAAAATCAAAAGTAGTCCCACCTGAGTGAATATCAGACATGCATCCACTGCTATTTGTTGAGTACAATAATATAACAAATGTGGATAGAGATGTAGATCTAGCCATCTGTAGGTTGGATAGTAATGGTTGTTAAAGTGCTGGCAACACTGAAGTCATGGGTGGAGGCTTGATATTGGTTGGTACAGCTTTGATTTTAGTATCAAATGGGTTTCCAGCTCCAGTATGACAGGAACAAAGTTAATGTTGTTTGAAGTAGTTGAAGACATTAACAACAGTATTGCTGTTTTTGTCCTCCCTCCACTTTAACTGTGGTGCAAGAAAAGCCCGAAACTTTTTGTTTGTTTCTTGGCAGTCAAAATCCAAACCCATAATAAGATAAGGTAAGATACATTAACTTAGTCACACACTTGAGAAATATGTTTTGTTACAGCAGAAAGTGGACAGTGCAAGGTCACAGTAGCAAAAATTAAGAATAAACACTGGAATAGGATAAGATAATAAGATACACAATAGTATAGAATAAAATACTATATGCAACAGAATAAAATACAATGCTGTCAGAAAAAGAGAATTGCACTTAATGAAATTGCACATTTGTGGATGTGTGTGTTTGGTCAGCTGCGAAGTCTTTGTTGTGGAGTCTGACAGCAGTGGGGAGGAAAGACCTGTGGATTCTCTCTGTCCCACATCGTGGGTGCCGCAGCCACTGAAGGAGCTGTTCAGTGCTGTTCAGCTGTTCAGTGCAGTCTCCTGCATGGGGTGGTGATGTCACTCACCACCTCCACTGAGTCCAGAGGGCATCCTAGAACAGAGTTGGCCCTCCGGATAAGCCTGTTCAGTCTCTTCCTGTCCTGAGCAGAGATGCTGCCGCCCCAGCAGGCCACACAGTAAAAGATGGCTGAGTCCACCACAGAGTCTTAGAAAGTCTTCAGGACTGGGCCATTCACTCCAAAAGAGGTGAGTCTCCGCAGCAGGTACAGCCTGCCCGGCCTATTCTTGTAGAGGGCATCTGAATTATGAGTCCAGTCCAGTTTATTGTAGCTGTCCACAGCCTCAATGTCCATGCCTTGAATGCTTAGTGGATGCAGTGGAGGATGTTTGTCCCTGCGGAGGTCTACCACTTGGTTTTACTAATACATTTAATATATTCTATTGCCAAAAGCATTCACTTGTCTGCCTTTACAGACATTTGAACTTGAGTGACATCCCTTTTTTAATCCATAGGGTTTGATATGATGTCGGCCCTCCCTTTGCAGTTAGTACAGCTTCAACTCTTTTGGGAAGACTTTCCGCAAGATTTAGGAGTGTTTGGGGAAATTTTTCTCTAGAAGCACGTTTGTGAGGTCATAGACCGGATGAGAAAGCATGGCTCACAGTCTCCACTCTAATTCATCTCAAAGGTGTTCTTTCAAGTTAAGGTGAGGACTCACAGGAAGGGGCCATCATCAAACTGTTCCCACTAAGTTGGGAGCCTGAAATTGTCCAAAATGTCTTGGTATGCTGAAGCATTAAGAGTTCCTTTCACTGGAACTAAGAGGACGAGCCTAACTGCTGAAAAACAACCCCACGCCATATTCCCCCCCTCCACCAAACTTTACACTTGGCACAACGCAGTCAGACAAATACTGGTCCAATGGCAACCACCAAACCCAGACTGGTCCAATTGCATTGTCAGATGGGGAAATGTGATTGATCACTCCAGAGAATACATCTCCATTGTGCTAGAGTCCAGTTGTGCAGTGCTTTACACCTCTGCATCCGACGCTTTGCATCACGCTTGGATGCAGCTGTTTCCATGGAAACCTATTCCAAGAAGCTCTCTATTCTTGAGCTAATCTGAAGGCCACGTGAAGCTTGAAGGTCTTTAGTGATTGACTCTGCAGAAAGTTGGCGACCTCTGTGAGCATCATGCTCTACCACTTTGTGCTATGCCTAGGCATGTGTAGGTGCTTGATTTTAAACATGGAAGTGATGTGAACACCTGAACTGAGTGATTTGGATGGCTCGGTGAATACTTTTGGCAATATAGTTTACCTCAGAGTGACTTACACTTGAGAAAGAGTGAGAACATCACTTCATATCATAAAAGTTTCCAAAGCATCCACTATTTCGTACTGTTCCTTTTAGTTACTGGTGTAGCTATAAATCCAATGCTGACAAAGGTCTGGATTCCTTTATTGTCATTATGAGCACACAAAAACACAAAAAATCTCACAATCAAAACAGAACCACGTTAAAAGACTATAGTATAACTTTCTGTTAAACAATGAATAATGAAATAAAGTAATAAAAAAAGATGGTATAGCACTGAATAAGAACATTAAATTTAAAAAAAGTATATATA